AACTTAAAGACTATATGTAATAGCAAATGGTTATGGAAACACTATTTTATATTGAAAAAATTATATCTCCCCCATTTACGCTGAACATCTCCCCATAGCCTAGTGAATGAAGTTTAGTTGATGCCATGTTAAATGCATTCTCACTCTGGAAATATTTACATATCAGTTTCTCAACAGAGGAAAGTTAACTACTTACGTCAGATAACTGATGAATCCAGGTAACAGCTGAGCAACATATCTAGGCAATAGGAGTCTTTCATGAGTTTGATTAATAATAGTAACAACAACAACAACAATCTTTATTGTCACTTTGCATGTACACCAATCAGCATACATAAAAATGAAATTTTGTTGCATACAGCTCTCAAAGTGTCACCACTTCTGATATACACTCCTTGTTTGTGGCCAGCTCAAGTTTCCGAACGTCCATTTTAGTCTCTAGGGAGTGAACAATGGCAAACAGGACAGATGAAACAGAGCTCCATGTGGATCAGCCCTCAAATTAGCTTGTATTTCTGCATGACAACCTCGCCTCCTTCCCCAAATTAGATCCTGTACCACTGATAACGAATCATATATATTTGGTATTATGCAGTATAAAGTTACAAAATGTGTAAAAAAAATTCTATGCCGACTTTTACAAGCTAGCATAATTCTGCTGTTGATGACATGGTGCTGGAAGAAATTTCAAAAGCACCCCAAAAGATGTTCGTGTTTGATTATATAATATTGTACAGGTTATTCTCCAGGTACAATAGGCCATTTAATAAACATCCTAAATTATGACAGACTTCCCCCAAAAACTACATATAAACTCATTTCAAAGTTACAATGGCTGCAAAATCCTGCAGTCATTCGCCATTACAATTCACCACAGGATCACTGCATTGCCCTCCCATCGCTCTCCTCCCATCTCATCCCACTGAAACACTGCAGTGCTTGGGTCTCTTCCCCATATGTCTATCATGCACAACAATTGTCTTCTGAAACTTTCCAGACTTCGTGTTGTTGGAGGAGGGCAGACCATGTGTCCCCAGCCATGCGGCAGTTATCCAAATGTAGCCACCATTTTGTGGGCAGGACAAAATGGCAGCTGCCAGAAAAATTGCTTCATTTTGCTGCTTTAGAGACGTCTGCAGAGTGTTGCAAAAGCTTTTGAAGGCTGCAGAAGCTTCTGCAGCACTGAAGAATTTGTTAAGCAAGGCAACAAAACAAAGCAGTTTGTTCCCAGACCATGCAGTAGTGACCCTAATGCAGCCACTTGTGGGCAGAACAAAATGCACAGCCACTTTTGCAACTGTGGCATGCAGCTGTGCAAAAGAAGTCATTCTAGGGTTCTAATAGGCCTCAGAGCTCTTCAAAAAGTAAGCAAGGAGAGGAATGTTTGGCCTGATGGGATGGTAAATCAGACCTAAGGTCTGGTGGGAATGGAAAAAATCCTGTTGGGTCCCAAGGCATGAGAAGTGGGTCGTGGGCTGTTTTGGAGGTGGGAGGGTCTTTGGGAGAGCCAGGGCAAGCAGGCCTGCACCTGTGCTAGGCCTCTTTCATCCAGAAGGCACCCCACACTGCACTTAATGATCTACACATTCGTTTATGTTTCCTTGGGAGAGAATAGGGGTGGGGTCATTATGACTGCTACAACATGTAACCGCAATGGGCAGATACCTTTACAGTCATGTCTTGACAACTGCCTGTATGATAATGGAGTTTAGGAATATTACTTTAGGAGTGATGCATTCAACAAAAGGCACTGTTCCAGCTGCCTGTGCATTGTGGCTTTTGCTTATTTGATGTTTTCCAAGAAGTATTTGACAGGCAGTAATCAAGACTGCTTATTCGTAGATCCTTCAACATATAAAAGGTTAAACTGGATTGATGACCATATACATCATTTCAGATTCTAAAGTTATTTCAATTCTACAGCTGCCAGACAATTTTGATCCAGAGACTGGAAAAAAATTGCTTCTGATGCACTTTCTGTAATCTTATACAAATGTGGATTGTATTATTTCATTTATTACTGGTTTTATTTTAAAATCTGTATTATTGAAGAAAAAGGGGTAAATTACTAATACATGTTGCTTTTCTTTATACTGACTTGGCCTAGATATTCTCCCATCCCATATCTCAAATTATATAGCTTTTTAGATTTTTCCTAATGAGCCAAACTATTGCTGAGAATAGGAAAACATTAATAAACACCAAAACCATGAATAAGATTGAATTCTTTTTATCTGCTGCAAGAGAAGAAAATGGCTAGCTCAACATTCTCTAGTTTTTTGACACTCAAGGTGTGATCAGAGATTACTTACCAACTGCAAGAGAATGGGGAATGAGTTCATTAAAGCTGTGCTCCCTTTCACACATTAAAAAAAAATGTCTTTCACTATGATTTGTAGATCAGTTTACACTCTTTTCCCCTTTGTACATATGCTTTCTTTTAAAAAAAATATTTAGATCTTAACTGAATTCTTTGGAGGTTTAAAAATGACTACTGTTATATATTTCCTTATATATGGTGTTATAAATGTTAAGGTTTTATTACATCTAAAGTTCTGTATGAATACATGTATGTGTTTTCTTTTTCATGCCCGTTCAGTATTATTTTTAAGAAGTAATTGGCCTTAAATGAAAGAGAAATAGAACCAAAATGGGGCCAGTGAAAAACAAATGATATGTATTAGAGTGTAAAAAATACTTGCGGTTTTAAAAACAATAACAAAATAATATCAAGACAATGATAATACACCAATCATTACAGCAGTTTTAAGGCCTCCAGATAAAAACATGTGTATATAGGGTGGGCTGGCTGATTTAACAACCCTGATGACAGTAGTTTGGAGGTAACGTATAGAGACATTTTATTCCAGATGATCTCTTATGTTTTGATCAAGTTAATATCTGTTTTAAGAAGTTTGAAACCGTGAATAGATTAAGGGGGGGGGGCTTTCTGGCCTTCCTTGCTGGATGCTTCTTTCCATCTTTGTTTAATTCACTATGCAAACATTGGACTATATTTAATAATGACATTGAAGAAAATTATATAATTTTAATATCCATCCTTAAAAAAACATTTTATTTTGTTTTAATTTGAATATTTTCCCCTTTTTTAGAATAGAAGGGGAGATTAAAAAGTTTTTTTTTTCATTTTTATAATCCAGGGTTTTTTTTGTGAGTATTAGTATTGTGCTTTTTATTTCTTTTATCATATAGGATTTTTTTTATAAAATAGGGTAGTATTTTTTAAGTATGCACTCTTTTATATAATAGTAATATTTGTCATTGTATAGTTATTGAATTTATACATTAAGATACAAATTCATAATTAATTATTTTAAAGAAATGTTGATTGTACTGTTTTATGGCTTGATAAAATAAAAATTGCAGTAGATTTTTTTTTAAAAGACTCCCTATTTAGTCGTGGAGTTTTATAAGAAGCCCAAATACTGTGTCCTACATTGTAACTCTGCCTCTATCCATGTCTGTATTTTTTCTTTAGTAGGAAAGAATTCTGATGAAAATATGAAATGGCTCATAAGATCTAATACTTGGTACCCTCAGGGATAGTTCCACCATGACTGAGTAGGAGCTACCAGAAGCAAAAAGGATGGTTAAATCTGAATAATCATAATAACAATAAGTTGTAGTAGCACCCCAGTAATAAAAATAACCTTGTGAGCTCACTTGACATGCCTATAGTGAAAAACACCTCTGATAGCAAAGGGCAAAATGATACGGCTTCTGCAAAAACCAAGCATGGACAGTTGTATTGCATCAGTACTTGAGTGCCTAGTTGCCAACAATACTTAGTCCTGCTCTGGGTCATGAGGAAAGAAGGTGACACCCCTAAAGAATGACTCCCTCTCCAGAGGCTTTCGGTCATTTAAAAGCTGGCAAAAAAAAACAAACCCAGAGATTTGATAGGCAGTAAGACACTACAGAGCCATAATAACCAAGGCAGTGAATTTCTGCTTTGATTGTATTAACTGCCAAAGCATCCCTGTACTTTAGAGCCAAGAAGTCTTGAAGCCTGCTGACTGGTTTTCTAACAGTTGAAGTCCAAACCATTCTAAAGAGTGTTCCTTGAGGAAATGGTTCATTGTTACATTGAGATGGGCCAATTCTTAGCAAATCTATAATTCTTCATCAACCTTTGTATAAATTGTGATTCTACCCACTTTTTTCCTATTCTAGATAAGATTTATGTATTGTGTTACATTACCATTTGAAGCCAAACAATCCTTTACCTATTGTGTGTGTGGAAAATAATTCTGTTTGAGTTAGAGCCCAATGCATAAAGCTTTACTTAGTGCTTGTTTGCATACTTGCTAAGGGTAAATAACAAATTGGTGATGTTCATGTGCTTATGGGTAATACAAAGAACAAAGCAAATTGCATTCATTTTGTTAGTTTGCTGCTACTGCTGGGATGTAAATGACCTGGACTCATTATTACCCTAATATTGTTTAACATACCATGAAATGCTCTGGAAGTCAGAAGCAGGATTCCCCCTCCCTTGTGTGTCCTTGGTCCATCTGGTGTAAATAAAGAGCTTATTGCTGTATTTTAGCTGTCATCATGCTGTATTTGTACAATCCAAAGCAAGATTGTCCATGCTAGTAGAGCTGAGATTTTTCTGTTGCTTGAATATTCTTTTGTCTGGAAGGAGGTAATTGTTCTCTTTCAGCTAATATTGCAGGAGGCCATTCATCCAGGGAATCTCCAACAAAACTAAATGAATTATTCCTGTTGATCTGATTCATCAGCTGCCACATGGAAGGGTTTGGAGCATGGAAAGAAATGTGTTTCTCCTGTTTAAACAAGATTATTTATGCCTTCAGCAAGAACTGAAAAATGATCCGTCATTCCTTTTCTTTTGAGATATCAATTTCTTTCCAACTTTTGCTGAATTTGCAAAAACAATCTAATCTATTAATAGTCATTATAAAATAGAATCACTTTTAACATTTAATTCTAATATTTTAATTTCTCTCTTCTAGGGGGTTCATATAGAGGCAGATTACAATCCCTTGTTGAACTCTCTTGCAGTGTATGGATGGCAGCTGACCTGTGTGCTTCCCACTCCAATTGTAAAGAAAAAGAGGTATAGTCAAGAAATGGCCTTTCGTTAAGTCTAAGAGTAAATAATAAAAACTGTCATTGATCTTACAATAGGGATCTTCTTTGGAAGCTTTTGTACAGCCTGCACAGAAGCTACCTATATAACAATAGAGCATGAAGTGTTCAGCCCTTTCTCTTTTTGTGCTGATAATCTTGCAGTGCAAGTAGAAAGCAGTCTTTGGCAAGCACAGGGGAAACTATGCAAACTGCAGATGCAAGTCCTATCAATTATCTGAGACATTATCAATTGTTTAATTTTCTTTTCCTGATGAAAGAGTGGATGAGGGCATTCCTCCTTGCTGGCTCATATCCCAGATTGTTCTTTAATGTAGGAGTAATATTCACCTGCACAACATTTTACTTTTCTCAAAGAGTCTTTAATCTCCAGACACAGGGATGCTTTTTGGAGGGGGTTGTGGAAAGCTACAGGGGAACAGGAAAATTTCATCCCATGAATATAAATGATTGTCATAGAATTCAAAAATACAAAAACCATGTGGCTTCCATGCCATTTGCTGCTACTATCCGGTGTATGTCTGCCATTTATCTTTGTTCCTTTGTAGAAGTTTTCATCTTTAAACACCATTAGCACTGGATTCAGTATGCGAGGATATTAAACCAGCATCTCGAGGCCAATAACAAACACAATTCCCCTGCCTCTCTAAAAAGTACTGAATTTTTGCTCGTATTCTTAAAATGGTAGCCAAGATCTAACATAGAATTAGTGAGGCTCTTGAATAGCCATCCTTAGTATGATGCACTAGCCTTGAATTGCTGTCCCCAACAGTTTACCCCAGTTGTATTGATCATGGATGATAGATCTTGCAATCTGAAGCATCTGGAAGGGAGCAAAGCTGGGACTGTTTTAAATTGCACCTGTCAATACCAGAGGGGAAATGCAAATACTTAATTTCCATCCTCATCCCCTTAAAGATAGTGCTTGAGCACCACATATGGAGTTGTTCTGTTTTTCCTAGAAAATGGCTAGGAAGTGACAGCTTGGCTTATCAACTTGAATTCATTTATCGACATGGATTATTGCTGATTACATTCATTTTTACACTCTGTTTTTTGTTACTTCAACTACATTTGTAGTAGTGTTGCTGTTACTAACCAGCTGGATGAGGGGAACAAATTACATTAGGATTGAAGAACCCATATAGCAAACTTTTTCACTATGAACCTATTTAATCAGATGTTTGAAAGTTAGTAATTGTCACATAATATGTTTATGATCTCGATAAATTGATTATATATTGAATGGCTATAGATGATAGGCTCAGTATTTGCAAATATATTTGCCCCTGTTGAATAAGCCACTTAATTAAAGCATAATACTGAATGGTTAATTAGAAAGGCCTCTTTAGCAAATTTAAATAAGGAATTACCTTAAATATCTTAATAGGCCTGGTTAATATTTGAATAGAAGACCTCTATTGAATACCTAGGCTTTAAACCAGACAGAGAAATTGAAAAGATGTCTTGAAAGAAGGCACTGATAAAACACTTCTGTAACAGGCACTCCCCCCCCCAAAAAAAGATGTATGTACGTGTCCATTAGTCATCAGAAGTTGATCTTGACTGAAAGAAGACTTTATTTTTATAGTACATGTAATATAATGGGAAAAAAAGTTGACGGTTGAAGATTTCCTACTTTGGCCCAATTTAGCGCTGACTTCGTGTTCCAGGTTAGTGTTGTAGTTAGTACTATAGAGCCTGTGTGATGGAGTGGCAGTGGAGATACCAGTTTCAAATCTGCACCAATGATGGAAGCGCACTGGGTAGCTTTGGAGTATGATAGAGAGTTTCTCAGCCCAACCAACCTCATAAGGACATTTTCAGGAAAAATGGGAGGAAGGAGCGTTTATACTCTGCCTTGAGCTTCTGGAAGGTACAAATTTGACAAATTATATTCCAGACAATTACATTAAGTATTCTGTGTGTATCAATCCATTGCACATAACTGTTAATTGATGGGATATAGACAACAGTATGTTGGAAGATTTTAATTAGAAAAATCTACCACTAAATAATGAAAAATACTTTATTAGATTCAAATATGTTTTTCGTTTCTCCTTTAGGCAAAAACAATAAACTCCAATGAGCCCTTAAACATAAACTAATTTATTATGATGTACATGTTTTAATCTTTAAAGTGTTATCGTACGTTGTTTAAGTCTTACAGAAGTCTTTTAAGACTTCTCTGATATATGAAGATCCTAGGTTTTTTTTAAATTTGTGAACCAAGGAATGTTTAGGGAGATCTTTAAAACAAGGCCTATAGAATTTGGACTGAATGCAGTCAAAATATGTAAGACTATTTTTAAAATGGGTCTGGCATAGTTCTCCAACGTAGTAAATTACGATATATATTATTTTTAACCAAATCTTCTCTTGGAATAAAGGTGATATAGTATATGTGGCTATATTTTTGGAGGGGGGTGGAGGTTGGATTGTGCTACCCCAAGCTTACAATCACACCTTTCTATTGAGATTTCAGTTAAAGAAACAGTGAATTAAAATACAATCTGTACAGTCTGAGTGTTGTTAGGTAGTGAATACAACAGGTATTTTCTTTCCTTACATTCATAACAGTATGAAGATACCTACCATAAGGGCTACACATTTTAAGAACTGTTTATTGATTAAAAGTTTATTTTTCAGTTCAAAAACATTTTAATAGCTAAACAGTTTTATGTGGTGCCCACATAAGGTCCTTTTACACCTTGGATGGACCTTCCAAAAGCTGCTGTTGAAAGATCCTCTTGAAAAGTAACAGGAGGGAATTGTTATTAAATACCTGAGTAACCATATTAAATTCAACTCACATTAAATTTAAATCAATTTTAGTTTTTTAATGCAACTCTGACACATCACTCAAGTATCAAGTTTTCTGCCCAGAGGTGGTATACTTCAAATTGTATCGCGATGAGAGAGTTCAGAAAAAGCTTATAGAGAATTGACAAGAACAATCCTAGTGACTTCAGTGAATAGTCCTTAATTTTAAAGGGCAATATGTAGGTATGGAAAACATTCTCAGGTTAGTGTTTTTAATTTTTATTTTGTAGAGATGGAAAACTAGCCACAAAGCAGATTGTCTTTCTTCAGAGACCTTTCCTGCCCCAGAAAACCAAGAGGAAGCAACCTAAGGTATATGGCCTTACACTGTTTAGTTTATTTGTCTTGGCAAAGCTTTCATATTTTAATTGAATTTAATTGAATAACTTATATTTTAGTAAGCAACATGTCAGTTGATTATTATTTAACTTTGCTGTTATTTTCAATTATGGCTTAGTTAAGAAAGCTAACATACAGCAATAAAGTATATAAAAGATAAAAAAAGAGGAAGCAAGGACAAGGAACACCTTAATTTAGATGGAGTAACACAGAACTCTTCTTAGTCAGTCCAGTCAGCCTTGAGGAATGCTAGGAATTATAATTTTAGTTGGAACATGGCTTGCTTCCTTTCCATCTCTCCAATGAGTTATTACACTCCCTCCCTTTTGCCTTTACATATTTAAAGCTTGGACTCTGCTTTGGCTAATTAAAAGGAAAGACATGTCAAAAGGTAAGGTCATGAAGTAAGATATTTTAGTTTATGATCTTTATTACCCAGGAAAAGAAAAAAAACCAAAATACCAAGTGTTATTTGATAGGAGTATGCCCAGATTCACAGGTAATAGTTTGAGACTTCACTTTGGACTTTGGCCCATTTAATTGCAAACTGAGGCACATGTGGTCTAATTAGATCTGGACAGAACGTATTTAAAATGGGAAGACTTGTTTGTCCTTTTGTTGACCATAAGAGAAATTTAAAAGGTTGTAGTGCTTTTGATTATATCAAAATGCTACAGAATTTGCAACTCAGTTTATAACAGGAATAAGATTGCCAAATATAATCAAAATATTTTGAACCTCTGCTTCTTCAACAACTATTATTTAAAATTCCTTTAATTTGACATAACTTGATTAAATTTGGACTAACAATAACTTGGTAAGTCAGTATAGAAGAACTATTCTAATTTTAATTAGATTGAAGACTGGTTGTGCAAGAACTATGATGTCCTTTTCTGAATGCAGTGAAGCAGGCTTCCACTCAAGCACATAAACACATGAAAATCGGCATATTCAAATTATTTTTTTCTATCTTACGACTTTTGTTGTTTTATCGTATAAAATAATGAAGAAAAATAAAAATAGGAAATTAAGAGAAGTAAAAAGAGGGAAGAAAATAAGCGGTACAAGAGAATAAAGAAAAAGTATTGATTTCCAACTCTTTTTATCACAATACAAAATAACATTACAGCCTCAATTTTTTTACTTTTAGATATTAGTATATAACTAGCCATTTCTGTAACAACAAATCTATCTAATCAGCAAAACCAAAGTCAAAATTTCATTTTTTTATCACAAGCACAAAATCCAGAAGTGATATCCAAATAAAAGACATCTTTAAATATATTCTCCTTTTTGAATATAACAGTTAATTTAATGATTTCTGCTTTATCATCCATGCTGTGGAAATAATATGTATTTCCATTTGCACTTAATAATCTTTATAAACTATCACCATTTATATTAACAAAAGTTATGCTATTCTTTCAGATCCTTTAATCTTAAAGGAAAAAAAATGCTTTCCCCCCCATCCATTTTAAAACACTAAACTTTTCTGTAAAAGCATTTCTAAAATCAAAACATTCTAATACATCTTTTTTTAGCTTCCCCTTAGCATACATACTTTAAAGTTTACTTTCAGACCAATAAAATTCCAACTCTAATTAACTCATTAAATTTAGATCCCTCCCTCCAAACTACCCTCATAGAATATTTTTTTTCTTCTTGTATACATCCTTTTTAAAAATCTAACCTTTTCTTTAAGCTAATACATTTTTTCTTTAACTTTCTCTTAACATAGATACTTTCAAATATACTTCAATAATATACAAACTTTAGGAATTACTTAAGTATTATATATAAAGGAAGAATACATTTTCAAACTTTAGATTAAGACTTTCTTTCAATTTCAAATATCAGACCGATAAAAATCCATCCTAATTCCAATTGACTCATTAAATTTAAGTCACTCCTTCCAGCTTGTCTTCATGGAATAAAATCTTTTTCTTCTCTGTAGAAGAAAGTAGTTATAAGGTTCTCTTTTTCTCAAGGATTTCTCAACCTTATTAATGTCCATGAGGAAAATTCCCAAACTTGTCCATTTAAAAGTTGCAGATTTTCTTGAAGCTCCTCTTTCAATTGTGTTGGGAGGTTTATATTTAAATCATCATAATAAAAATTGGTGTCAGGTTTATATTTTTCTTCTTCTTGTTGTGCCATATGGACATTGGCGATCATGTTGGCGATCCTGTTTTTATCAGCAGCCGCATGAAAAAGTGCTTCTGAGTTTTGTCCAAACTAATCCCTTAGATTTTGAAGCCACAATGTTCTTCTTCTGCCTGGACCTCTTTTGCCTTCAATCTTTCCCTAGAGAATTAAATGGAGTATGCCGTATTTTTCTGGGTGTCGCATCACATGTCCGAAATATTCTAATTTTTGTTTTTTAATTGTTTTGATGATTTCCTACGTAACAGCCGCCTGTAAATCCACATTTCAAATGCTTCTAGTCTCTTCAGGTGCATTTGATTCCTCTGCATTGTTAGCTACTTGTGAAATTGCTTTGGTGGTTTGGTAACTTTCTCTTTGCCTCTCTGAAGTAGTTTGAGAAGTTTTTTTTAATATCCTTGGAACGTAGCTGATTTATGAACTGATGGATTTTATTTAAATATTTTTCAAATACATCTCTAATAATTTGCTCCTCCATCTTCTTAATTCCCTTTTTAGTCATAGAGTAGCTTTTTTGTAAGTCACTTAAGAATTGCTGGCCAATCAAGAATCATAAAAATCGGAAAGTTTTAGCCATTCACAGCAAAGCAGACCAAGCTACAAATTACTAAAAATAATAGAACCACAGCTTTCTGCCCTTATATTTCTTCATCAACTTTTGTTTTTGTTTTTAAAAAAGATACTCCACACTTCTTTATTTTAGCTTGCCTTCAGCAGCCTTCTTCCTTGTTGTTTAACAATGAATAAATCCCAAGAATGGCCCAGATTTTCAAAAAGGAATAACAGGCTATGGCTAATGAGAGCCTTTTTTAACTTAATAAAGATTAAAAGTCCTTAAAAATGATTAAGGCATCATCAGTTCGAAAAATAAATTCCAAAACAACTGCTTCTTCAATGAACTGATTGCAATCCTGTCCCCCCAGCTTTCGGCATGCAGGCTGCTTTGAAGCACAGCTTCTAAAGCTACTTGCTTTATTGGAGGATCTTGAGGGATAATTCTAGGACTTTCCCTTACCTAGGAGAGTCATATAAACTAAAGAAATGCCAGTTTCTTCTGTTGGTAAGTTGAAAAAGCTACAGCCCAGTGTGTTGTCAGTTGGCCATCTTTTCACCAGAAGTCAACATATTTAAATTATTTTTTGATGCATTTCACAAAGAAATAGTATTATGATTTGAATAGGAGGGCAAATGGAATAGTAGAACTAAATAGCATTCGTCATATTGCTAACAGATAGGCTCCAACCACTCTGTGACCCAAAGAGAAAGAAATAAATGTTTAGTATACCAAGCCATTAGAAGTAGTTTAAAGAAGTTGCTTTCCAGCCTTACAGCATTGATATCAAGGTAGTGTAATTCTCTAGATCATTAGTACACACTGAATTAAGAAGGCAAACACAGTTCCTGAAATCTAAGTATTTTATTCACTGTTCCTTCCTTTCCCATCAGTCGTGATACCCCATTACTGTATCCCTATATCTAAAAGTACCAGGTATGGGCCACAATTCTTGTATCTCTTTGCTGCCATTTAGTGATCATATGAATTTTTGCACCCAAAATTTGGTAGCGCTGCTAAATTTACACTGTATTTTCCCCAGGTTGTTCTAGCTCTGATTTTACTCTGATAAATCATTAGTATGCTCTGGCCACAGTAGAATTTACTTTTTCCATAGTTAAATGTGAATGATGTATTTAAAGAAGAAAATCTAAAGACAGACTATATGTTCCTTTTGAATGGACAGAAATTTGAAGGAAAAATCTTGCTAAAATTGTGGTGCTGCAAGGTGATTTCTGAACACATGTCAGCATTTCTGTCAGAAAAAAAGAAATAGGATATGAAAAAGATCTAACTGAACAAATTAGCTGCATGAATTAGGAAAGTGTTCAGATAGATGATGTTGGTCCAGTTTAGCTAACCTACTATAGTAGTGAATTCATACTGCTAATCTCACCCTTAATTGTTTTGGAGGCTAGGAGTGTTCTTTGGGGAGCTTAATTAGCCAGAATTTGTTAGCTAAGGAATTTGTTGGAGAGCAATTTTTTAAACTTGATTGTGTTAATTTTTTATTATTGATCATCACACAGTCAGTCAGATGTACGTACTGGATTTGGCATTTTTGTCTACCTCTCAAGTCCCTACCAAGGATCTGGGATAGATAGATGTGGATGTTTGATGGCATCACAGATATTGTCACAGGATGGAAGCTGTTCCTAGTAAGGCTGCTTTTTGCAACTGATTGATGGCAAATTTATTATGCCAGTGGTGTTCAAGTGATGCTCCAGTTGTTTGGGGATAGCACCCAAAGCGCCTATTACTATTGGTACTACCCTTGCTTGCTTTTGCCACAGTCTTTCTATTTCTATTTGTAGGTCTTTGTATTTTGTTATCTTCTCCAGTTCTTTCTCGTCTATTCTGCTGTCTCCAGGCATTGCCATGACCACTATTCAGACTTTTTTGTCTTTCTTATCGACAATTGTTAAGTCCAAGGTGTTATGTTGCGGATGCCTGTCTGTTTAAATTCTGAACGCCCAGAGCAATTTAACCTCTTCATTTTCTATGACTTTCTCTATGTTATGGTCCCACCAGTTCTTGCTTGCAGGCAAATAACATTTCTTGCACATCTTCCAATACATCATTGTTGCAACTTTGTCATGTTACTGCTTGTAGTTAGTCTATGAGATTTTCTTGCAGCAGTTTACCAGATAGTCCACTGTTTCTTCAGTTTCTTTGCATAGGTGGCACTTACTGTCTGTTGCTATCTTCTGAATTTTGACTTTGTATGCATTTGTCCTTAAGGCTTGGTCTTGTTGCAGCCAGAATTAGTTCCTTGATCTCTTTCTTCAACTTTCCTGCTCTTAGCCATTGCCAGGTCTTCTTATTATCTCCTTTCCCAGCAATTTTTTTTAATGTAGTAGCCATGTGGTGCTTTGTCTTTTAGTTCTGCTTGAGTCCAGTCCACTATTCCATCTGTGTATCTAATGACTAGAGTTGCCCAGGTATTGATTGCCTTCGTAGTATTTCCTCCATTGAGTTTGGACTTTAAGATCTTTTTCACTCTCTTGATGTATTCACCTCTAATTTTTTTCTTGACTTCAGTGTGCTTGATGTTGTCAGCTTGAAGGATACCCAAGTACAGTATTTATAGTAATCTTCCTGATCCAGACTCTTAATGTTATTTTCGAGGGGCATTTTGATTTCTTCAGTTTTCACTATTTTTCCTTGTTTGATAGTAAATGTGACACAGTATTATTATTATTATTATTATTATTATTATTATTATTATTATCATCAGCATTATATAACTAATAATATATTATTAGTAGTAATAACATTATTATCATTATTATTATATAATAACTGTTAATAGTAACAACAACAACCAGCCATCAAACATCTACCTATCCCCATTCCTTGGAAAGGACTCTATAGATGGATAAAAATGCCAAATCCGGTCTAAATTTTTCAACCATTATTATGGTTCTTCATACAGTCAGACAGATGTTCAGATTGATTTGGCATTTTTGTCCACCTATCAAGTTCTTCCCAAGTACATGGGATAAGCAGATGTTGATGTTTGATGGTGTTAGAGGTATTATTAGATGTAAGTTGTTCCAAGTAAAGCTGCCTTTTGCAATTGACTGATAGTGATTTTGTCATAGATGTTCAGTGGCATTCAAGTGGTTCTCCAATTGTTTTGGGATTGCAGCTAAGACAGCTATTACTATTGGTACTACCTTTATTTTCTTTTGCTGCAGTTATTTCTATGTCTATTTGCAGATCATTATTATAGTTATTATAATAAAAATAATTGGGAGTCCTCATAGTGATGCTTAAAGGATTCCTATAATATCAGGAAATACTGAATTTATCAAAGTCGAACAACCTAATTTTACAAAAAAGCACCCTGCTTTGAATTACCTTTATTCTTGGATGTTACCTTAATAATTCTTAGGAACCTGGTTAGCTTTTGAATTATTCAGTTTCAGCTAATCTTAGATCATGCATCTAACTGAAGGTTATTCCAACATAATACATTGAGAGTAAAAGAACTTGAAAGAAAAAACATATTTGAATAATTGAAGTTGAAAGATTATGTCATAAACCAGCCAGACGGCACTTAGGAAATGTGCACATTGACAAAATTTCCATCTGTCCATTACAAAAAAAAAATCACACTCCTTGGATCTACAGATGTACTACACTGATACATTATGACATTCTAGATTCTTGGGAATAACTCAGTGCAAATGAAGTCCAACACCAGCTAGAGAATTGGCAGCTGTGATTTCATATTGTGTATAATACATCCTACAGAATATTTCCTTCCACAGCCTTTTTTTTCATTTTGCACTTGCCAGTGTGTAATATTTTTCAAAAAATTGAGTACTTTACTTTATTGTGGAAACAACCATACAAGAAGATAAAGTACACAAGTATTTATCAGATGATAGATGAAATCTCTAATGCATTTTTTGTTTTGTTTACTAGGATCCCTATTGGTTAAAACTTTGCAAGGTTTCAGATTCAATCCTGAAACAGTACTTCAGAGCACAGAAACCTGGAAAGATGCAGCTGCTGTAACAAGTTGTCAATTGGCACTGTGTTTCTGCTTTTGCATATTCCAGAAGACCTTGTCAGAAGCACTGTAAAACCCTCCTTTTGCACAAGGCTTCCTGTTTTCATCTATTAAGAAAATATTCTAACTACAGTGAAAGGTTTTAGTTTGTGAACTAAGCATATTCTTTTAAGGTAAAAAAATAACCTGCTGGAGCTACTAAATCACGATTAACACATTTTAAAAATACAACTAATAAAAGGCTGTTGACATAGGGAATTCACCTTTTTTTTCTCCTGAGAAGCTTAAGGATGTATCTGCAGAACAGTATCTGACACTCAAAGTAATGTCCTTTTTTTTTTTTTTTCAAAATCACTTCTATTTAAAAAGCAAGAACCAGAAGATTGTGTTGTCTTGGGACAAGTTTTTAAAATTAAACTGGCAAGTGAAGATTTCTCCAGATTTCTCTTCTTTTTCTAGCATAACCTGTACTATTATATCTGTTTTCAGTTTCATTGGAGGTTCTCTAAGCAAGACCAACACCAGAAGCAAGACAAGAAACCTCTGAAGGCAAAACTAAGTGCCAGAGTCCAACAGCAGCAGACAATAGAAAAGCAGGAGTCAGAAGCCACAAATAGAAAAAATTCAGAAACACGGTTCTCCACAAATGATTTGCAATTCCCAGTAATTTCATATCAGCAGCTGGCTTGTGCTGAAGACAGAACTGTTGAGCACAGAGCTATACCTTCCTACAACAATGAGATGCCTGCAGAAACGTGGAATGCAAGACAGAGTGGTGATCAAGACATGGGGGGCTTCTGTTTGAGCCAGAAAGGCACATATAAAAATTGTGAAAGCCAGATGTTTCAGGAGCATTGCATCACAGCAGATGATGGGATGTGTGAGGCACAAGGTGCAGAAACTGGCTGGATCCCTGAGGTTTCAGTTGATTGAGAGGGGCAAATATTTGCCAAAATAAAGAACTCATTTTGATTATCACAGTTAAACATAACTCTACAGTAAACTTGATTTGATGAGTTTTATAGGTACTTAGAAGAAACATTAGCACTACTGTATCTTCATTTTAGCAGTAGATCAAACTTATTCAGCCTTTTTTTGCTAATCATGCAATTTTATGGGTAAAGAACACTTTATACTTAATATAATATTTTTAAATAAAGTATTATTGATGTGTACCACTTTTTTATTCTCTTCCAGAGAATGGAATTTAGGAGTTTAGAAGCTTTAAATAACTGGTGATAATTAGATTTTGTCTTAGTGAAACCATTTGTATTGTCTTTGGATTAAATACTCTTTTTCAGAATTGTAAAGCAATAATGGAGATTCATATTTTGTTTGAAAACCACTAGTGATGGAGAAACAAAGCACACAATAATTTTCTATATATTTGTCCAATATATCTGTTTACTATTCAATCACTTAATAATCCAAACTATAAAACAATATGTTTATTTTTCAAAAAAGCACCATATTAAGTTTGTATTAATTAAAAAAGATTGGGTTCCTGTCATCTTCTTGTGTTGCAAAGAGAGGAAGCCTTGCTCAGAATTTCACGGAATAAATAGTACCAGAATGAAAGCCACTGTGGTCTTGAAATATGTGGGTTGATAAGAAAAATAAATTTCCTACACAATGATTCCACACAATGTGACAGTTTTCTCATATTTTGCAAATAGTAGTCTTTACAATAAAACTTGTGTAATTTGAATTTGTAAACCTCTATACTTGAATCTAATTGTACATATTCGTAGTTGCTTCTCTTATTACTGATTCATTATTTGGCCACTGTTCAGATTTTATAACGTGTTTTGAAAATGCTGTCTTTATACAAATTGAAACTTAGAGACTATAAAAATACTGTTTCTTTTCCCAGCTGGCTGATTCATGTTTGATAGTTCCCATTAGTTTTTCTGTAAAGTGTTTTAATTCAATAAAACATGGTCTCTAGGTACACATAATGCATACTTAACCTGTTTTTTTTAACTGTCAGCTTCATGTACAAGAAATGGCAATTTGCAGAACATTTTAAAACAAATGTGGACTACTTCAAATGGACACATAAGATATAATGGAAAAATAGTTTAAAGCATTTGTTCAATACACACCCAAGACACTTCTATCCATCCCCCCCTAACAACTGAAGAATGTTTATTCTAGCTACAGCTGCTTAGCTAACTATTAAGAAATAACTCCATTTATTTTTAGCATTCAATAAACAAGAATTCCCGTTTCCCAAAGCAAGCCATACCTTAAGCTTTTGCTTCAATACAACCTGTAATCTATGTGCATCCAGGTAGAACAGGACAATAACCATAAACAATTAGAAATATTTAAATCTGGATTTGCCTAACATTATCTAGAATCCAGAGCATAAAACATATGTCTACGAAAGGAATTCATAGGGTATGGTAACAAAAAAAAGTCAAGATGGTGACCATGGCAGTGTGATTGACACTCTGCCTGTTTTTCATGTGTATCGTACATATAGCACCTGTGCTTTGTGGCTGCCATCTTGACTTTTCTTTAATCATATCTTGTGGACACTCCTGTATCTATAGAACCTTTGAGGGAGAAAGTACACCCTCTTGAATCCGGTGTGCATACCAAAGGATCAGAAGTAGTTCTTCACCAAATCACCCTTATTTACTCCCATTTTAGTTCTGGTCAATTAAGTTTAGTTACCCTTTTGGCCAAATCAAACAACAACAGCTTGATATTAATGCTATAGTTTTCTCCTGGTTTTTACAAAAGATATCCAAGTACACTTTCATTTTAAATGAAGTTTAAATGGCAGTTTAAGCGGAGCAAGATCAAAGAGAAGCTAAAGGAAGAGGAATCTTCATAAACCATGGCTTATTCATAAATGTTACAATCAACATGGTTCTAATAATAGAGAATATGATTACTCAGCAAAATTTTCTACACTGCATGGAACTAAAAATATGCTGAGCTGCTTCATTTTGAATTAAGAGCAGCATGCAGTTACTAACACTAGTTCTCTGACACATATTCTCTCCCCTTCATTCTAGGCAGTCTTTGAAGCTTCATTTTCTATATTGCAACTTCTGGTCTGTACTATCCAGTTTTTACTCTTCCATAGTTTGCTTGTTCGATTATACCAGATCTACCAATGTTCACAATGATATTCACTACACTTCTAGTATAATACAATAATTAAAAATTGACAGTAATATTAAAAATAATTAGATATACACATTTTTGCATTAAATGATCTTTAAAAAAATAATACAAATGTTTGTTTACATAGATTTAAAAATTCAGAACACTTTGCATAATAAAAAAATAACATTGAACAAAATTAGTCTGAATATTAGTTAGTTCTTCATTTTCCAAAAAGATGTTAGAGAAGGAATAAGGGAAGGTTAATCCATAAAATTATGACCAAGAAATAGTGTCTCCAAGACTTAAAATATACACATACATACCTACATGCACATCAAGAAATGAAGAACAACCAGTACCCTTTCTCAGAACAAGTGTAGGATGGGGTTTTTTCAGCTAGAAGATGACAGTCCTATAAGCATTTAAGTACCAATTGATGCATCAGACAAAGCTGAACAATGGACCTCCTTGCCATGGTTTCCACCTATCCATTCAACAATAGTTGTTAATCCTGATGAATTCTTCAGATATAGTATGAAACTGAGAATCACTTTAACTGCCAACTTCTCCTTGGTTCAGCTTCAATCTAGATGCTTTCAACCTCCAGATGTTGGCACAAGATTTCCATGATATCAGTCTAGGCTACATTGGTGATTTATACTTAAATATCACATTGTGATGATACTGCACCACAAACTGAAAGATGATCTCTCCTAGCAGCTTCCCATTAATGTTAAACAACAGAAAGAAAAAAATGAATCCTGAAGCACCCCATGAGTGGGTAGCCACAGGGTTGACTTCTCCAATAATAAGCAGCTGGAACTGCCCTCAAAGGAAGGTGGAACATTGACCCCAGCACAGAAGAATATCATTCAATCATATTTATAGCTGAAAGATCCAATACGGTCAAAAGCGCTGCATTACATACCCTCATCTAGGTCTCAACAATCATCCACCAACAATCATGACCACTGTTGTTTCAAACCTAAAGCCTAAATTGTGACTGAAGGGGATCCAGATGACAAGCTCTAAGTCATTCCCCATCAAGTTGTCAAGAGTCTTCCCTAAAAAGTGAAGTATGGAGGTTTCCCAGTAGTTATCAAGTATCAAATATGGTGAGGAAGAGGCATGCTACAGTCTCTTTCAAGGCCATAGGTATTGCTTCCTTTTCCCATAAGAATGTGCTTCTTTCTTTGCCATGTTTATTAGTTTTAAATCAAATTTTAATGTTAATATTTATTCTAATATTTTACTGTTTTATCATGTTGATTTGTTCTTGGTTGTAGGCCTCCTCTAGGCAAGATGGGAGGCATATAAATTTAATAATAATAACATGTTGAGAAGCTTCTCTTTGGCAAATAAAGTGAAGATAATCTGTGTGTCTTTTAGTTGTGTAGTTTTGCATTATGGGATCTTCCTTTTGGAGATATAACCAGTCCTTGTCCCCATCTGCATGAATAATCTTCTACCCAATTAAGGAAGTTTCACATCAAATGGAATTATAATTTACAATTACTTTTTAAAAATACTGCTACAACCATTAAGATGTGTAAGAAAATCCCAATGATCAAGAATTAAAGCCTCAGTACAAAATAATTAATTAATAAATCACTTGGGAGAATATAATTTTGCAATTACATGGATATGCCCTTTCCTTTTGCTTCAGAGGAAATATTCTAGGTGAAACAGATTTTAACCTTGTTTGAAGTGCTTGTGTTATTGAAAGAAGTATTTGTTACTGTAGAATTGAACATTTCAAAGCAGCTCATTTTTCCTATCCTTAGCTGACCAAATTTTCATGGTGAAGAGTCCTTACCAAAATGTATTCCAGAACAGTAGGTACCTCGATGCCTATGACATCTTATGATCAGAGAGATGTATCCTTGTTACTGTGGTATTCAGTGAGCAGAAATAAAGAATTAGAGAGGGGAGAGGGGAGAGAAATAAAGTCAGCAATAAAAGTCAAGAGGCCTTAAAGTTAGGGACTTTGTTATTGAGGGTAATAGAAGAATGGGATGACAGAGAATGAGGTGGCTGGATGGAGTCACTGAAGCAGTAGGCGTGAGTTTAAATGGACTCCAAAAGATGGTAGAGGACAGGAAGACCTGGAAGAACGTTGTCCATGGGGTCGCGATGGGTCGGACACGACTTCGCAATTAACAACAACAATGCACCTCCCCTTTGCTAAGAGATGGGCTACCAGAGTATCTAAAAGAGTAATCAATCATTGTCAACTGCTTAAAATTATAAAAATAATAGTTCCATTAAAAAGTTGCTACAGAAGACTGGTTTATAGTTCCACTTTAAGCTTTACAGTGTTACTGTCACAGATAATCTCCCTTTTGAGGGAGATTAATTTCTTCAAGCTCAGTGAAAGCAAAATTGGCATTTCAAAGAAACAGTATCCTCGCTACTGTATTTATGCAAGTTGACAAGAATTCCCCTCCTGCTCTATTCTGCGGAAAGCCAAATAGTTCTGTCCCCTTCCCCTCACCTCCATCAGGGCTATGACAAGATGAGAGGGCTTATATGAACACTGAGAGAACTAAAGTGTTCCAAATATATTCTTTACATAGCCAATTGGTAGAATATATCTAGGGTAGAATGTGTAAAAAAAAGTGGAGATTAATTTCAGAAATCTGTGGGGATAGGCTGTAATGATTATTTTGCACTAAAGGAATAGCTGATGAACATCTACAACATGTGACAGTTTGTAGATTGGTTCTTTCTGGGTTATCTGAGTACCTTATACTCTGCATATATGTATGGATGAATATGTGCAAATGCTCACATGCATACCCCAGCAAAACAATTTTAGATTGGTAAAATATTAAAATACGTTATTTTTATTTCTGTTGGAATAATTTTTAAATTTACTATGTTAAGCAACTGAGATAAAGCCTGGTTAGGATTACCAGATGTCTAGCAAAAGGAAGACATGTTCTTGGTTTTTATCCTCATGTCTAGCAGGCATAGCCTTAAATAAAATATTATTCAGCTTTTTGAGTATTTTGGAGTATTTTAAGTGTATTGTGACCTTGTTAACTGTCTGTTTCTTTCGTTTCCTCATCTATCAACAGACTCAGCAGCTAGCTTTACATTATTTTATTTCCAGATTCCAGCAATCAACTTCAATCCAATATCTATGATCCATAATTACTGGATGATCTATGATCACTATAGCCCACAGATCACATGATCCATCATACATTCTTATGGTGTAATTTTAAAAGTGCATCATCAATTTGATATTATTGCTAGCATATGTTTGTGAAAATACATTTTGTTATAAAAATATCGCAATTGAATTTTTTCTTTTTGATACCAGAAAAGTAATTTCCTCTATAGGGCTAAGCACTTTTTTGCAGTTTTGATGTGATTTTTATTGAAGGTGCCAAGGATAAGCCCTTCTTCCCCCCATTTTCCGGGGTTCATTTCTCCTTGGCCTATTCAAT